GATGCACCCTCTAGTGCGCATGATAACATATTAAGGGTGGACAAATTTATTTTATAGGGATGCAAATGAGTATTTATTTGGTATTAAAACTAAAAAGATGGTGATTGATGACATCAAGAAAAAAATGAAAAGATTGGATAATCGAAAGGTGCAATTCAAGTCAATTACTATGTGATTGTTTGATTTGGCATAACATCATATATTGAGTGTGGATGACAAAACGAAGATTGTTAAAATTATCAATTTAGTGGTAGAAAAGTTAGTGATGCCTAAAAGTCAAGATGTCAAATTTACAAATCTTGACAAATGGAGGATCAACTATCATGCGAAATTAATGATAATCAAATTAAATTTAAATGTTGGAGTGGAATTCAATGACAAAGAAGATGGACCTTAAAGCTGCCTAGAGAAAAATATTTTGTGAATTTTCATTATTCAACTTTAGTAAATAAAAATAGGAGTTGAACTAATTTATTCTTTTTTATGTAATATTTTGTATAACAAGGTTTAGCTTTTGCAACACTCAAAGTCACACTTGTTAATGCGTATTTTTCCCTCCTTGAAAGCAGTTCATACAATGCAAAGTTGACGTTTCTATCTTGTATTAAATAATAATAATTGTTGAATTTGGATTTTATCCTGTCAACCATTTATTTGTTGGGTTTGGATTTTATCGTATCAATTATTTTTTAACCCAAATCCAACAATATAAACTGTTGGTGGGAAAAAATTCAAACCCAACAAGCAGAATTAAACAGGAAAATTACTTTTATCCCAAGTATCAAATAAATTAGGAACAAATTGTGGCAACCCCACTTTCATCTAAGGCGAACCAGAGGGTTGGCGGGCCGTCTGCCTAGCTCTCGCCAGGACTCACGCGAGAAATTAACCGAAATCCTTCCGAAGTATATCTTAAACTATTACAACATCGATTCTCCCAAAATAGACCACTTACTAAAATCACATTAATTTCAATGATAACAGCATTTTAAGATGGCTAATCGTCGATTCTTAGATAGCTTACGCGTTACAACCCATAAAATAAAGTTTAAACAATCCCAAATAACAAATTCATACAAGCCAAAAGACAGACTTAAGGTTTACACCTTTCCTGCTTCAAGTGGCAACCCAAGATAAAAGGCCGCCTAATACTTAACACAATCCCAATCCGATTAGTGACGTAAATAAAATTTTACGTTACAAGCTGCAAAGTGAAGTCATAAGATTCAGACACATTCATAGCAAAATACAAATGGATTTCAGATCTTTCAAATGTTAGGACTTGTCAAGGAAAACAAATAAACGTGGGGTGAGCTAAATCTCAGTGGTGCCCCAAAACATGCAATTCCATAAAATAAATAGCGCGTATTAACTTCAATTAAAGTAAACAATTAGGAAAGCATTTAACAGCACAAGATAGGATACAGGGCTCTCCGGAGCCATTTCCCCACGAACTTGATCAAGATTTTCTGTAGTCGACCCTCCGTCAACTTTCACTACTTAAGGTCCGTGTAGAACTTTTTATTTTTCTTAACTCCAACCACCAATCTTACCCCTGTACCGGCCTCGTACACCAAGCATGAAAGTGGTAATACTCGAGTATATCTTAGACTGGTCGAGAAATTCACCCAACGACGTTACATCCAACACTTATAGACTGGTCGAGAGATTCACCCAACGACTTTACGTCCAACACTTATAGCAAGCATAAGTAAAATATTCACGAAAAACACTTTAAACAAATCACCACTCGAAAGGCTAGTGTGATAAAGTACACACTGCTCACTTCGATGGATCAGCAATCATTTTCCAATTATCGCATATCGAATCACGAAAGCACTTTAACCAAATAAGCATAGAACAAGCAGGAACACTCACCAAGAGTGAAGTCACAGATCAAGCTGGAAATCGAAGTCCGCGTCCTCGCTAAACCCTAGAAAACCAAGTTTTAACATTATAAGTTTTACTATACAAATTCTTGGTTTTTATATATTAAATATTATCTCGTGTCCACTAGTTTATTTTCCCCAAGTAAATCGGCAATCCATTTGGAATTAAAACTAGTGAAAGTAGTAAAATATTCCACGTAGTTTCTTTAGAAATATTTTTTTTTCTTTCTAAAAGTGCAACTAGGTCTACGTTAATTGAGGTGAGTTTTCTTGCCAAACAAGTTTTCTAAAACAACTGGTCGGGACAATTTTTAAGGAAATCTAAAGTTTAGAACTAGTGTAATCATTATCTAAAAATAATACGTCTAGTTTAAGCTAAAGAGAGAAATAATTATTCTGCAGTGTTTTACAATTCCCGACTCTTGAATTTCTAATACTATCATATTATACCAGATTTTGTAGCTCAATACTGAGCCGAATATATTCACGTAGTTTGATTTAAAAAAAAAAAAAAAAAAAACTCAAGTTCGCAAGAGCTAAATGGACTTCACGATTTCGATCCATAGTCACATTATATTCCAAGTTTGCCAATATAGCAAAATCACTTTTCAATCAATATCACTAGGGTTTCGTCAATCATTAGCCCTATTTTTCAACAAGTCCAATTCTAATCAAGATTTAACTCTTGCAAAAATTACTCGAATGGCCAAGAGCTTCATCAATCATTAGCTCTTAGCGTCTAACAATCAATTCTCACAGCAAGTTAACCAAAAATTCAAATGTTTAAAATTACTAGCATGCACGTGACCACAAGGACACGATTTGCAACCATATTTTATCCAAGATTGGAACCAGAATCTCATTGTTCATAGACGGTTACCGAATAGACATTCTCTAGAAATTTTTATTCCAAAATATCTTTTCCAATGCCAAGGATTCCATCTCCATATTTTAGCCGTAAAAATACATTGTCACCCCAAAATTCACATGCATGATCCTCTTAATAGATTATAAGATAGAATCAACAATAGTGTGATATTCTACAGCAAATCAAACTTTAATATAAAAATTTGGAACTCAAGATTCACAAAAGAAATCTGGAAGAATTCTTTCTTCTTCCTCTCTTGGCTAAGCTGAAAAATTCCAGCACTTGCTTCAACATTTCCAACCAGATTAACAACCGTATCAAGGTTTTCACATCTTCACAGCTTACCAAGCTTAAACACTTATTTCTCATGCATTTCTACACATCATTTGCCAAAGAAAATTCCAAAAACAAACTGAAAAAAATTCCAGCTCAACCTCTCAGCTACCAGAAAATTCCAGCACTTAGTTGATCATAAATCCAATTTTTCCTCAGCTAAAATATGGTATTAGGATCTAAATTCTAACATGCAAATACTTAGCTAGTCAATTAACATTTCTGATTAAAAATCAGATTCGGTCACCAACAGAAATCATCCAAATTTCCAGAAATTGGTTCAGCTAGCCTCGGACGAGGTTGCATGCATCGGATTTCTGTTTCATTATTCCTTTTCTTGCTTAACCGAGCTATTAAGCTGCATGCAAAGCTTAAACACTTAGTTTCTAGTTAGTTAATCACAGTTGTAAGCTCAGAACGTCACAATTAAACCAGGTAAAACGGCATTATTCTAGATTAAACTCAACTGAGCTCGAATGACTTGCATGCGTCAATTTTCTGCTTTGTATTATTATTATTATTATATTTTTTTCTTTTGCCGGACTGATTAATCTCATGCAAGACTTAATTATCTTGTTCTTAATTAGGTAATCACGTTTATCAGCTTAAGTTGTTACAAATAAGCAGATTAAGGACTGCATTTCCTAAGCAAGCTCTCGGCCGACCCATTTCTCTTCCAAGTCAGATTTTTCTCACGTATCAGTTTCATCATCCAAATGCACAGCTCTACATGCAAGTCCATAGATGGCTCAATCTATCACTAATCAACTTATTCTAGCTCAAGAATTACCTCACAGTGAAGCTTATACGCGCGACAGAAAGCTGATGTTTCTCCCCTCTCGGTTCACACGCGACTGGATGTGATGTTCCTGGTTGCAGTAATTGCGGCTGTGATGGTGTTGGGGTTTGAGGATGTTTACAGCTAGTGGAGGTTGAAGAAAAGGGTGAAGAATGAAACAGTCAGAGGGTAAAGTAGGCTCGGCTCTCACGGACAGAACAGCAAAGCTACAGCTCGCGGTTTCTTTTCTTGCTCCCGCTTCTGATCAGAAAGGAAATGGAAGCTCTCTGTGAGGATCTCAAAATTTCATTAATTTTTGAAAATTAAAATCAAAATATTATTTAAATGTTGAAATTATTAAATAATATGTATTTATATTTAATAATGTGTATTTATATTATTAATGATGTTTTCACTTATAAAAATATTATATTTTAATTTACATGAATTTTAAAAAAAAATTTATTTGACGGTTCGCGTTCGACTAAGCATTAGGGTAAATTTTTGCGCACTGACGCGCGATGTAGCCCTAAGTTGAAATGTAGAATATGTAGAGGTTATAAAAATGTACAACTAAGCTGAGGATGTGTTAAATGGGGAATTCCTACCAGTAGATAAAATTCTCGCGCATAAACGCGATTCAATTCAAAATTTTTCCACCATTATTAGCATGCCCAAAAGTCAATTAGACTACTCCCTAGACTACCCCAATTTTCCTCCCATCTTGTCACCAGCTACCACCCTTTTCTTACCCCTCTAAACTTCCGCTCCTCTGCTGAAAGAAGAAGCAGAAACCGCTGCCTTCCAAGCTCCAATAGCCTCTCATCTTCAGCCACTCACACCCAGTCTTCAAGCTTCCATTTTCAGCTTCCACCTCCACTTCTTGCTGCTGTCCAGATCGAGCAAGAGGAAGGAGAGGATCGTTGTTGCTGCTGCTACTCTCGCTGCTCCTGCTGCTGCTACTACGGCTGGGTTGTTCGGACCAGGGTGAAGGAGAAAAACCAGCTTCCTATTTCTTCCTTCCACCAACCACAGAACCATCTCAAGCTCACCAAACAGAACCCCAGCCCTCTTCATCTTCAGTCGCTGCTGTGCTGCTGCGGTGACTGGCCAGACCGAGAGGGAAACAGAGAGCAAGAGAGCCAGCTGATCCTCTGTGGTTCTAGGAGCAACTTGAGGAACTAGACAATACATTTAGCTAGTAAACAACCCACTTGAAGGTAACAAACTCCAGCTTAGCACCTTAGCCAAAAATTTCAGATTTTGCAGCTTGTGGTTCTTGAAATGTTAACTTGCGTTGGTAAAACTTGTTGGGTTGCTGAACCTCTAAGCTAATGATTGATGAAGCTAGAGGTGTTTTATGTGTTTATATGTGTGTTTTGTGATGATGGTTTTATTGTTGAATTAGTGCTTAAGGAAGTAGATTAAAGGTGCATTATTGCTAGAAACTTCATTGAGCTCTTGAAGCAAAAAGTTCCGATTCTGTCCCTGCCAAGACCGACCTTTTTCATGCAAAATTCTGAGGTTTTAACGGCTTGTATTTGATGTTTATGTGTTTTTGGATTTGTGTGTAAAGTTTCATTGAAAGATATTGAGGTTTGGTTGACCAAAGGTGATGAATTCCAAAACCAGCAAAATCTGGAAATTTTTCCTGTATGGCTCAGGCAGCCATTTTGTTTCGATCATAACTCTGCCCTCCGACGTCAAAATTGAGTGCCGTTAGCGCCATTAGAAACTAAACTCTTCCAGCTTTCCAACGGTGTAAAATTCACGTCCTGGCTCCACATGAATGAACCGTGGCAGTCTTTTAAAGTCACCTGTCCTGCTCCACTGGTTCACTGGAAGCCAGGATATGAGCTGCGCTTTGTTGCCAGATTTCGAGCTAGTTATGAGTAGAATTTTAAAATGATTTCTTCTGAAAAATTGTATCCCTATGAGTGTAGTTTCCAACGCTACCAACCATGCTCAAATCTAAATTGAATTGAATGAGATGTGACCAAAAAACGAAAACTGCTCTGCTGTTGAACCAAACTGTCCAAATTTTCCCAGTTTGTGTTCGAGTTTTTGATCTGATTTTTGACAAGAAATTGAGCTTCATGGATTGTGTAAATGTTAAGCTGAATGTCTATGGTCATTTGAGCGAAAATGCACCACTTTCGTAGTTGAAATGATGTTGAGGAATTGAAGGAAAAGGAAGGTATATGCTGTACAAAGATTCTGGAAATTTTTCAGATTTTAGTTGAATTTTGGGGGTCAATTTTGACAAATTTTTGAACTACTTGGGCTGTATACATGTTAACCTATATGGGTAGTATTGTTTGGGTGAAAATGTAGCTTTTGGGTAGTTGAAAAATTTTGGATAAATTGAAGGGGAAATGGACTACTTGCTACCGAATGCACCTGAAATTTTTCCAGCTTTGAATGATAATTGTGAACTGTTTTCACGATAACTTGAGCTCAAATGATTTGTGTATTAATTAAGGGGTTTGTATAGCTCAATTTGGGACAAAAATCTAGTAGAGGTTACGTCCAAAAAGTGGACCAAAATCTTATTCTTCAAGAAGATACCAAAACAGAATTTTTGTTTGAAATTAGAAATGGTTTGATGTTTGGATTTCATTGTGGGTAAATGTGGACCAAAGTTGTCCCGAAAATGTTTTTTAGCATTAACCGTTGTTACTAGGTCCATTTTGAGTTGATAACCTTGAATTTTATTAGACCAAATGCCCTATTTTGAGGAATTTGTCAAATCTGGAAATTTTCCTAAAAACTCAAGTTTTTGCCTACATGAAAAACATTGGACTGAGTTGGTCATGGAATTTGGCAAACTTAAGGAGTTTCTATTTTATAGAAATTCTAACGACTAGTTTTACTTGGTTTATATGATTGCCTCTTAAAGGAATTTCCCAAGATATGTTTGGGAAAAATTTGAGGGGAAAATTCCTCTAAATTGTTTAAATGTGATTTTTCTCAACTTGTGACACCAAATTGGTGTTAAATGGCTTATATGATTCTAGAATTTGGATGTTGGAATATTTGACGAATTTAGCAAGTGTTTGGGTTTTAAAGAAACCTCAAAATTTAATTTCACTCGATTTGTGGATTTCACTTTGAGAAAATGATTAATACTAGTTTGGGATTTTGAGTGAAATTAAATGCTAGTTGACTCGAGTTAAATTCGCCAACTCAAAAGTGGAAATTTATGCGAATTATTTGTATGATTCTAGGAGTTGGTGAAGAGCACAATCTCGATCAAAGATTGGAATTCTAGACACTTCACTTGAGGTGAGTGTCTCTTGCATGAATCGTGTTTAACTGCTAGTTGAACTACTTGTTAAAAGTACTTGCTAGAGATATCATGAAATGTTACATGCTATGTGATTGCGTGAAATATCACAAGTAGTGTTGCAATGTCGATTGGAGCGTGGTCTCGTCGACTAAATAAACCAAACGGATGCACGTACCACGCTCTATTGGAGTGGGAGGTACCTCTCTGCCGTCTTGGTAAAAGTGCTTGCAAAATTCGTGTTGGAGTCGGGCCCGAAAATAAGGGGGAAGACGTTGCTAGGAGATGTGTAGATTAGGGAAAATGTCTACATGGAGTTTAGGTAGTGAAAGTTGACGGAGTGTCAACTACTATAAATTTTCTGATCAAGTGCGTGGACTTTGGCTCCTGAGAGCCCCGTATCCTTTTCTTGTCATGTTATTTCGCTTTCTTAAATTGTTAAATGCTTACTTGTCTATTTGTACTTGTTAAATTGCCTTATGTGAATTGCATGTTTCGAGGCACCACTGAGCTATTGGCTCATCCCTTCCAAATTGTTTTCCTTGACAGGTTCTGAAACGCATGAAGTCTTGGAGAACTAGAACAGAAATATTATATTTTGAATGCCCACTTTTGTAATTGTATTTTTGGAAACGTTAGTATCTTTTGGATGATTTTTGTGTTTTTGGGAAAATGTGAATCTTGTGGTGCTTCTGTGCCCTGGATTAGGAACTTTAAATTGTAAATTAAGTTGAATTTAAGTATACTAAGCTCGACGTTTTCGTTGATACTTGGAATTGTGTTTTGGGCTGTATAAGTTGAATTGTATGAATTATTTAAGTACGTGACTTGCTCGAGAAGTAAGGTTTGTTTTCGATTTATATTTGGTGAAATTAGTTACTAGAGTGCGTGAGTCCTAGCGAGAGTTAGGCAGGCGACCCGCCAACCCTATGGTTCGCCTTAGGGAGAAGTGGGGCCGCCACACTCTCTCTCTCTCACTTGGTCGATGATCACGAGGTGAGAGAGGTTCTTGTGGTTGAGGTGAGATGGTGGAGAGCAAATGGTGCGCGGTTGGGAGGAGGTTGAGTGTTGGAGTGTAGAAGATTGCATTCGGCCGAGGAGTGTTTGTGTTATAAAGAGTTGTCCGAGAGAGTGTTTGAGTTTGCATGGAAGTTTTTTTTTTTTTTTTTGTCTTAAGAATTCCAAGAATACTTGTATCGATATTGCCTAAATTTATGGACTTCATCTTAATACTAAGGTTCCTATTAACACCTTGACATTTTTAACGATTAAAGCTAACTATCAGCATTCAACGAATTTATTTTAAGGCAATAAAATTATCTAACTCAAAGAATGTTAATTTAGCATAACAAAACCAAATAATTTAATATTTAACACATTTATATTATTTATTGCATAAAATTATCTTTACGCACTTATTAGAAACAAGTAGTTATAATGCTAAAACGTATTAAAGAAAAAGAAATGCAAATGAAAAATGCATTGATATTTATATACATATTTTCAAGGTTCTCACACAAATCAAATCACCAAGTAATAATATCAACAATAATAGTTAAATGTAGAAAAATAGAAGTTACAGGACATCAAGATTTTTAATATAGAAAACCTAAATTGGATAGTTCACGCGATCAAGTGCAGTCAAAATTTTCACTATCACAACAATGGGAACACACAGGTTATTCAAAAAAAATGAATGACAAAAATGTTATGAAAATTAACTAAGTGAAATTGTTGCAAATTCATCTCCTAAAAGTTATAAATTTCTAAGAAGTGGATTTGAAAGGATGTTAGCACGTCAAAAGAAACTCCAAAATCGAAACTGGTAAATGAGCAGAGCTTGACGAGAGGATCGCATGACTAAAGTTTTATTTCAATTGGGTTTCAAATCATTATTCGATCATGATCTTAAAGTTGCAAACTTTAATTCTCTCTCTAACCTTTTCTCCCCAATCTCACGTTTTCTCTCACTTTGTTCTCAATGAAAATGGTGGTTGATTACTTGTTTTCAAATGAAGCCTACGGCTGATTAATTGATTTTGCGGCTGACTATTCATCAAGTCAAACAGGAGTTGGTTCACTTATCATGCAACAATATTCTTTTGTTTAGTCCAATCCACTGTTATATATGTTACATATATATATATTGGTTTCAATGTGAAAATTTTTTGTTAGTTTTGTTTATGTAGATACACCCTCTGGTGCGCATGATAACATGTTGAGGGTGGACAAGTTTATTTTATTGAGATGCATATGAGTATTTATTTGGTATTGAAACTAAAGAGATGGTGATTGATGACATCAAGAAAAAAATGAAAATATTGGATTATCGAAGGGTGCAATTTAAGTCAATTGCTATGTGATTGTTTGATTTAGTATAACATCATACATTGAGTGTGGCTGACAAAAGAAAAATTGTTAAAATTATCAATTTAGTGATAAAAAAGTTAGTGAAGCCTAAAAGTCAAGATGTCAAATTTGCAAATCTTGACAAATGGAGGGTCAACTGTCATGCGAAATTAATGATAATCAAGTTGAATTTAAATGTTAGAGTGGAACTCAAGACAAAGAAGATGGACCTTAAAACTGCCTAGAGAAAAGTTTCAGAATATTTTGTGAATTTTCATTATTCGATTTTAGTAAAAAAAAAGTAGGAGTTGAACTAATTTATTATTTTTTATGTAATGTTATGTATAAAAAGGTTTAACTTTTGTAACACTCAAAGCCACACTTGTTAATGGGTATTTTTTTCCTCCTTGAAAGCAGTTCATACAATGCAAAGTTGACGTTTCTATCTTGTGTTAAATAATAATAATTGTTGAATTTAAATTATATCTTATCAATCATTTATTTGTTGGGTTTGAATTTTATCACACCAATTATTTATTAACCCAAATCTAACAATATAAATGGCTGGTGGGAAAAAATTCAAGACCAACAAGCAGAGTTAAACAGGAAAAAATACTTCTTTTCCAAGTATCGAATAAAATAGGAACAAATCAAATCACCAAGTAATAATATTAATAATAATAGTTAAATGTAGAAATATAGAAATTACAAGATATCAAGATTTTTAAGATGGAAAACCTAAATTGGAAAGATAATTCGATCAAGTGCAGTCAAAATTTTCAATATCACAACAATGGGAACACACAGGTTATTAAAAAAATGAATGACAACAATGTCATGAAAATTAACTAAGTGAAATTGTTACAAATTCATCTCCTAAAAGTTATAAATTTCTAAGAAGTGGATTTGAAAGGATGTTAGCACGTCAAAAGAAACTCCAAAATCGAAACTGGTAAATGAGCAGAGCTTGACGAGAGGATCGCATGACTAAAGTTTTATTTCAATTGGGTTTCAAATCATTATTCGATCATGATCTTAAAGTTGCAAACTTTAATTCTCTCTCTAACCTTTTCTCCCCAATCTCACGTTTTCTCTCACTTTGTTCTCAATGAAAATGGTGGTTGATCACTTGTTTTCAAATGAAGCCTACGGCTGATTAATTGATTTTGCGGCTGACTATTTATCAAGTCAAACAGGAGTTGGTTCACTTATCATGCAACAATATTCTTTTGTTTAGTCCAATCCACTGTTATATATGTTACATATATATATATTGGTTTCAATGTGAAAATTTTTTGTTAGTTTTGTTTATGTAGATACACCCTCTGGTGCGCATGATAACATGTTAAGGGTGGACAAGTTTATTTTATTGAGATGCATATGAGTATTTATTTGGTATTGAAACTAAAGAGATGGTGATTGATGGCATCAAGAAAAAAATGAAAATATTGGATGATCGAAGGGTGCAATTTAAGTCAATTGCTATGTGATTGTTTGATTTGGTATAACATCATACATTGAGTGTGGATGACAAAAGAAAAATTGTTAAAATTATCAATTTAGTGATAGAAAAGTTAGTGAAGCCTAAAAGTCAAGATGTCAAATTTGCAAATCTTGACAAATGGAGGGTCAACTGTCATGCAAAATTAATGATAATCAAGTTGAATTTAAATGTTAGAGTGGAACTCAAGACAAAGAAGATGGACCTTAAAGCTGCCTAGAGAAAAGTTTCAGAATATTTTGTGAGTTTTCATTATTCGACTTTAGTTAATGAAAGCAGAAATTGAACTAATTTATTATTTTTATGTAATATTTTATATAAAAAGGTTTAACTTTTGCAACACTCAAAGTCACAATTGTTAATGGGTATTTTTTCCTCCTTGAAAGCAGTTCGTACAATGCAAAGTTGACGTTTCTATCTTGTGTTAAATAATAATAATTGTTAGATTTGAATTTTATCCTGCCAACCTTTTATTTGTTGAGTTTGGATTTTATCACACTAACTATTTATTTTGTTCGATTTGGGTTTTATCCCACCAACAAATAAAACCCAAATCCTACAATATAAACGGTTAGTAGAAAAAAATTCAAACCCAACAATCAGAGTTAAACAGTAAAAATTACTCTTTTCCCAAGTATCAATGAAAATATGAAAAATCTCCAAATAATGATATCAACAATAATAGTTAAATACAGAAAAATAGAAGTTAGAGGACATCAAGATTTTTAATATTGAAAACCTAAAATGAAAAAATCACGGGATCTAATCCATTCAAAATTTTCACTATCACAATAATGGTAACGCACAGGTTATTCAAAAAAAATGGATGACAACAATTTTATGAAAATTAAATAAGTGAAATTGCTACAAATTCATCTCCTAAAAGTTACAAATTTCTAAGAAGTGGTTTTGGAAGGGTGTTAGCACGTCAAAAGGAACTCCAAAATCGAAACTAATAAATGAGCAGAGGTTGACGAGAGGATCGTATGACTAAAATTTTATTTCAATTGGGTTTCAAATCATTATTCGATCAAGGTTTTAAAGTTGCAAACTTTCATTCTCTCTCTAACCTTTTCTCCCCAATCTCATGCTTTCTCTAACTTTGTTCTCAGTGAAAATGGTGGTTGATCACTTGTTTCTAAAATGAAGCCTACGGTTGATTAATTGATTTTGCGGCTGACCATTCATTAAGTCAAACAGGAGTTGGTTCACTTATCAGGCAGCAATATTCTTTTGTTTAGTCCAGTCCACTATTATATATGTTACATATATATATTGGTTTCAATGTGAAAATTTTTTGTTGGTTTTGTTTTTGTAGATGCACCTTCTGGTGCGCATGATAACATGTTAGGGGTGGACAAGTTTATTTTATTGGGATGCATATGAGCATTTATTTGGTATTAAAACTAAAGAGATGGTGATCGATGACATCGAGAAAAAAATGAAAAGATTGGATGATCGAAGGTTGCAATTCAAGTCAATTGCTATGTGATTATTTGATTTGGTATAACATCATACATTGAGTGTGGATGACAAAGCGAAAATTGTTGAAATTATCAATTTAGTGGTAGAAAATTTAGTGAAATCTAAAGGTCAAGATGTCAAATTTGCAAATCTTGACAAAAGGAAGGTCAACTGTCATGCGAAATTAATGATAATCAAATTAAATTTAAATGTTGGAGTGGAACTCAAGGACAAAGAAGATGGACCTTAAAGCTGCCTAGAGGAGAGTTTCAGA